TACAACAACTAGGAATAGGATGGCTGTGACTTACCCCATGCTTTGAGCGGAGAACCTTCCTGTCCCTCTGCCCCTGCCACGTCCAAATCCTAAAAAAAACACACAAAAACAACAACAAAACCCCACAATTTTAGAATATAGTTGTATTTTTTATGTATTTATTACTGAATGATTAAATGAGGCAGAGTTTCAGGACCATCTGGGCTACAGGATGACTTCTCAACCATCATAGACTACAGTATGAACCCCCCCCCCCCCCAAAAAAAAAAAAAATTCTGGAGAGATGGCAAAGTGGTTAAGAGGACTGGTTTCTCTACCAGCGTACCTGGGTTCCATTCCCAGCACCCAGCTCACCCCTTCTTAGGGGCATCTGATGCCCCCTTCTGGCCACCACAGGCATTGCATATACATGGCACAGATACATGCCATACACATAAAACATAAATATAAATAAATTATGACTTGGCAATGGTGGCGCGCAAGCCTTTAATACCAGCAATCGGGAGTCAGATCTCTGAATTGGACGCCAGTCTGGCCTATAGAGCAAGTTCTAAGACAGCCAGAGCTATGGAGAAACTGTACTGAAAACAAAACAAAAAAACCCCAAACCCCCAAATAAATAAGCTATCCTTGCACTGTTGATAGTATAACTATGTATATCAGAACTGTTCATACCTCTGCCTCTGCTTCCCAAGTGCTGGGATTCATCTGTACACCACTATAACTAATTATAAAACTGGTTTTCACAATTCATCTGAAAATAACCAAAAGGATTGTTCAAAGTGACATAATCCAGGCTCTGAAGTGTGGCTCAGTGGTGGAGTACATTCTTACCAACAACAGGCAACCTTCATTACCAAAAATAACAAAAACCAAAGCAAACTGTAAAAACAAAAGAACCCAGCGTAATCTAAATGGTTCCTTCACAGCCATCTTAAGAGAACATTTGTTCATAATGCATTTCCACTCATCCTTAAAAGCCAGAGCAGCAGCAGCTGGCCTGGTCCTTCTCCTCTCTCACCTCTGCCGCGGGCCCGCTTGCCTCGCTCTGCAGGCTTGTCTCCTTGGCTGCAATCAGTCCCATTCTCTTCACCTTTGACTAAAGAGGAAAAAGCAGACATGTCAGCTTTTCATTTTCAAACCTCTTACCAAACTTATGAGGTACTTACAAAACCAAGAACAAAATGGACAGGAACAATCAAAAACCCAGCACTCTCTTCTAATCCCACAAATTCAAGGCCAGCCTGGTCTAAATTCTAATGAGGGCTACATATGGAGGGAGATCTGTATCAAAAGCCAAAAAAAGCCAAAAAAAAAAAAGTCAAAAAGAAATTAAAATGTAAACAACATTTAGAAATCAAGAAAAATAAAAGAAGCAAAAGACTGGAAGCATGTGATGGAAGACTTATCCAACACTAGGATGCAAGCCCAAGGCAGTCTTAAATTCAAGGCCAGATGGACAACACAAATCAGACCTAGTGTTTACAAGAAAGAAAATAAAAAAAGGACAAAAAGAAAAGAGAGAGGCAGGGAGGTGTGGACCAAAATATGGAATGACACCAAAAGTAAATCACAGAACAGCTGGGCAGTGGTGGCGCACACCTTTAATCCCAGCACTTGGGAGGCAGAGGCAGGTGGATTTCTGAGTTCGAGGCCAGCCTGGTGTACAGAGTGAGTTCCAGGACAGCCAGGGCTACACAGAGAAACCCTGTCTTGAAAAACCAAAAACCATTAAAAAAAAAAAAAAAGAAAAGAAAAGAAAAGAAATCACAGAATAAAAAATGAAATCAAAATAACATGGTAATAACTGGGCAGTGGTGGTGCACGCCTTTAATCCCAGCACTTGGGAGGCAGAGGCAGGCGGATTTCTGAGTTCCAGGCCAGCCTGGTCTACAGAGTGAGTTCCAGGACAGCGAGGGCTACACAGAGAAACCCTGTCTCAAAAAAAAACCCTCAAAAAACAAAAAAAACCAACAACAATACAAAAAACATAGTGCTAAGCCTGGTGGCACATGCTTTTAATCACAACACTCAGAACAGAGACAGGATCTCTGTGAGGCCAGCCTGGTTAGCATATCAAGCTATAAGACAGTCAATCTGCATAGAAATAAGATGGCAATTTTACTTTGTCTAGATGTACCTCATGTAAAATAAATTTTCTTTAAATAAGAACAACAACAAAACCAACACTTATTACAAAGCAACGCTATAAACACCCAGAACTTATTCCTTTACAAAAGGTAAAGTGTAAGGGACAAGCTTTTTAGCATACTAGGAGAAAAGGCAAGTGCAGACTTCTGTTTTTCATATTCATACTGGTTCCAATGGCTCCATACAATACAAAAACTGGTCAAGAGATATTAATATCATTGACTTCATTTTTAGTTGCTGCTTTGCTCACATGAGCTAGGTCTCATGTGGTGGGATTAAAGGGATGGGCCAGCACACCTGTCTTACAGTATACTAATGTTACCTAGAACTTGTACCTGAGACAAATAAAGTTCAGAAACAGATGAGGATTATAGGAAAGGATATGATAAATTTAAAAGTACTGCAGAAGAGTAATTAGTTTCACAAGGACTAGGGGGTAGTTCTTTGAGACAAGATTTTACGGTGTAGCTTAGGTTGGTTTGGAACTCACAATTTTTCTGCTAAAGGCTCTCAAATTCTAGGATTACAGATATCACCTGGCTATGAGCTGTTTGAAAAATCTGTTTTCTCATTACTATAGGTTGCCAAAGTACTCCCTACACAGCAAGAAGTTGCCTCCTGGGCTGTTCCAAGTAAAATGGTGTCAAAATATGAATCCAAAGGAAACTGTTAAAAAAATTCTGCCTTCTGAATCTGTCTCCCTTACTTTTTTTTTTTTTTTTGGGTGTGTGTGTGTGTGTGTGTGTGTGTGTGTGTGTGTGTGTGACAGGGTCTCACTATGTAACTCTGGCTGGTCTGGAACTCACTATGTATATCTACATGGCCTCAAAACTCACAAGAATCCACATGCCTCTACCTAGGACTGAAGACACACCTAGACATCTCTAATCCATGTCTAAACCATGGATATCTGTAGGGAAAGAAAAAATAGCTTCATACGAATGAACCTATACCCACCCCACTCCCAGCTTGCTTGCACTGTAACCAGTCTGAAAGGACAAGAATGAACGACCTGCAGCCGAGGTCGGCACAAGACCTTATGGACTGCCCTGTGTGACCCAGAGTCAAGTGGGAGTGATTGACAGAGACACTGCTGTGGCCGGTCGCTCTCTGGGCTGTTCCCTCAGCCGGGGTGTGTGAGAACGGCTATGAGAAGAGCTACACTCACACTCTCGGCCGCGGCTGCCACCTCTTCCCTTGCGGTTGTTGTTGCCCCGTCCACGACTTGCTTCTCTCTCCGTCCTCTTCTCTCTGTTTTCTTTGTTTTCTGAGCTTTCTCTTCCAAAATTCTTCTTCTTCCCTCCTACAGTCTCCCATGAAGTCTATCAAAAAGTAGAGTCTGCAATGACTGAGTGGTCACACAGCTTTCAAAACTTGTATTTTATTTCTTTCCCATTTGTGGGACGTAAAACCATGACAGGCGTTTGGTAAGGTAGAGTCCTGGAGACTTGGTGGACACACACACCTGAGGTGCAGGCGACTCCCAGCTCCCTCCCAGACTCCTGACTTGGAACATGTGTCATGTTTCTCTCACAAAAGGGAGGGTCTGAGGGTCATGTAGGCTCAAGACAGAGTTCTCCATGTTAATGAGGTAGGCTGGGACAGCTCAGCCAATAAGCTTACCTTCCCAGACACTCCTCCCTGCAAAAGGTATTTAATCTCAGGCCACCCTTAGAAGTGGGATATAGCTTCATGCATCCATTTTCCACCTTGACAATAAACTCTTTAGAACCATGGACTGTCTGTTTTCATGGGGAGCCATGGAGAAGACCTTCACCAACAGAGCCACAGCCTAATCTCTTGTAGAAGGCCTGTCTACTATCCCAGCCACAACCGCCACCAAGACAACCACTGCCAAGCCAAGGACAATTATCCCCTGTGAGACAAGCAGGAGCTCCCCAGACCCCTGACTCCATTCTGTGCTCTTCCCTGCCTAGACGTCCAATAGAAACCCTCATGGTCCCGGTCCTGTCACGGGCCAGGGGACCCCCAAACCAGCTGCAGCTTTCCCATGTCTCAGACTGCGCTTTCCCATTCCTAAGTGCAGTCAGAGCTCCACCCCATCCCCCAAGGGGACATGCCCCGCAGCAGAGCGGCTTCGGGCCTGCAGGCCTACATCCTGATATCCGTTTAGTTCTATTTCCTGGAAACAACAGCAAACAAAACAGAACAAATCAACCCTGGAGGAACGGTTCAATATAATCCCATCTCAGTCAGTAAAAGACATACACACAAGCCTTAAGCAAGTCTTGGCTTGTGAGCTATCCATAGAGGTACAAGAATTCATTTGTGAGAAAGGAGGCAGTTTGTCCAGTACTATATCATAAACATGAAAGAGACAACTATGTACCTCAAGTGCAAATACACAGGTTTTTAAAGTGAACCAAGTAATTATAAAATATAGATATCCAAAGTTACTTGTGACAACCTGCATCCATATTTATTACAATATTTATTTTAAAAGTTCAATATTTACCATTGATCAGAATCTACATGCACAGTTAGTGTGGGAAGACAGTCACTGCCGTTGGTTAGTCATTAGCCACAAAGCTGCAGATGCCATCAGGTAAGACCCATGGCAAAAAGCACAGAGGAAACTATGTCCCACACAGTGTCCTATCACCAGTCAGAATTCCAAAACAATTCTCCTCTGCTGCATCTCCTTCACAGTCGCACCCTGTTAACAAGAGTACTTGTAACTACAGTCAGCCCCTAACTTACTAACACCTGCTCTCTGACAAAAACAGAGATCCAGCTCTGGCCCCTGATGTGAAGTTTCTATGTTCCAGACAAAGCTGGTGATGGAGCTGGAGAATTGGCTCAGCAGTTAAGAGCATTTGTTGCTCTTGCAGAAAACCAAGGTTCAGTTCACGGCACCCACATGGTGATTTCAACCATCTATAACTTATAACACTAATTTCAGAGGATCCAACACTCTCTTTTGACATCCTCTGCCACCCAGCACATGTATAGATTCAAGCAAAACACTCACAGAAAAATGAATTAAAGTTAATAAAATTTAAAAGACAAATTTTAATTAATTAAATTTTAAAGGCATGGTAGCTCACACTGTCATCCCAGCACTTAAGAATGCTTTGAGTCTGAGGTCAATCTATCTTACATAGTAAATTCCAGCCCAGCCTGGGCTAGGAAGTAAAAACTTGTCACATTGACAGACACACACACACACACACACACCAACAACAACAACAACCAGGCATAGTGGTGCATGCTTGTAAGATACACATGGGATACTGAGGCAAAAGTATCACGAGTTCAAAGTCATCCTTGCTTACATTGCAAGTTCAAGGCCACCAGGGCTACATGAAACACTGACTCAAATAAAGGCTGACCCAACACATTGCCAAATTTATATTTAAGGAAGCTAAAGAAATGGCAATACATAAAGGTATTTGGGAATACCTCTACCAGAACAGGACAAGTCCCTAGCAAACAACTTGAGAAAGTTCTTTCCCGTCAATTTCTTCCTTATTAAAAAAGACAGTATTGCCGGGCGGTGGTGGGGCACGCCTTTAATCCCAGCACTTGGGAGGCAGAGACAGGCGGATTTCTGAGTTCGAGGCCAGCCTGGTCTACAGAGTGAGTTCCAGGACAGCCAGGGCTATACAGAGAAACCCTGTCTTGAAAAACCAAACACCATTAAAAAAAAAAAAAAAAAAAAAAAAAAAAGACAGTACTGTTGAGTTTTTATAATACCCAAGAAATGCATGCTAAAATGTCTGTGAAAAATCATGTACTTTGGGGAGGTAGGGTTTCTTGTAGGGCAGGCTAATCTCAAACTCAACATGGAGTCAAAGCTAAACCTGCTTTCCTGAACTTTCTGCCACACAGAACTATGGAAGCAGGCAAGAAAACCAGGCCTTACACATGCCAGGCAAGCACTCAACCAACTAACTCTGAACTATATCCCAATACATAACTGCAGAGTTTAATTCATCATTTACCGTGGCATTTCCCCAATAAATTTGCATAGTTGATGCATTAATTACAAAAAGAGAGCAGTATTCTCCAACATGGAATCTTACTTATAGATACAGCTGCACAGAAATAGTGAACTACCTTCCAAATTACATGAGCTTTATGCAAACAAAATTCTTTTTGTTGTTGCTGTGTTGAGAAAAAGCCTCTCTATATAACCCTGGCTGGTCTTGAACTCAGAGATTTATCTCCCCACCTGGTGTTAGGATTAAAAGCATATGCCACCACGAGTGTCTACATGTAGGTCTGTGTATCGTATGCTTGCCTAGTCTCCACAAAGGTCAGAAGTGGGTGCCAGATCTCCTGAAACTAGAGTTACAAACAGTTGTGAGCTATTGTGTAGGTGTTCTGCAGGACAGCATGTGCTCTTAACTGCTTAGCCATGTCTCCAGCCCAAAAACTTCATTCTATTCAACATCAAATTTTTAAAAAGTAGTGTATAGTTACAGTATTTGGTTTCTCCCAGCACTCCAATTTTATACAGTGAATATTTGTAACAGCCTCCCCTTAAAGCTATACTATGATTAAACCCAAACATTGAAAAGAAGGGCACCTGTCTGATTTAGTGGCTCATGCCTTTAATCCCAGCACTCAAGAGGCAGAGAGGCAGAGGCAGGCAGATCTCTGTGGGTTCAAGGCCATGCTTGAAAATTGAGTCAAAGCTAAGAGTGGGTCCCAGGAGAGTAAGAGCTATATAGTGAGACCTTGTATTGAAAAAGAAAAAAGAGAAAGGACACTGGATGCTCTTCCAGAGAGATGATCCAGGTTTGATTCTCAGTATCCACAGGATGGCTCATAACCAATTAACTCCAGTTCTGGGGAATCTGATAACCCACTGTAGCTTCCACAGGCACTACATGCACATGATACACAGACATGCATGCAGCCAAACACCTATCTACACAAAATAAAAATATACACACACACTTACTTTAATATGTGTGTATATGGTCTGGAGAGATGGCTCAGCATTTAAGGGCACTGTCTGATCTTCCGGAAGACCTAGGTTTTATTTCCAGCATCCAAATAGTATTAGCTCACAACAGTACATAAATCCAGTCTCAGAGACCTGACACTCTCTTCCGGCCTTAACATGTACAAAGACAGTCTCTCCCTTCCTCCCCCCATCTGTGCGTGCATGCACACGTGCAAGTTCATCTCTGGAGCTGGAGTTATATGCCATTGTGAATTATCATAGAAGAGCTCTGGAAACTGAACTCAGGTCCTGTAGAGAACAGTTCATGCTCATAGCCAACAAGCCATCTCTCCAGCCCCAAGAAAGCCATGTTGGGTGCATTCATCGCTGTATTTTCTCTTAGGTGATGTATTATTTTTTTTAATTTTCTCTGAAATATTTTCCTCAGTTTAGAAATATAAATCAAGCCGGGCAGTGGTGGCGCACACCTTTAATACCAGCACTTGGGAGGCAGGCAGGCGGATTTCTGAGTTCGAGGCGAGCCTGGTGTACAGAGTGAGTTCCAGGACAGCCAGAGCTATAAAGAGAAACCCTGTCTCGAACCCCTCCCCACCCCAATCCAAAAAAAGAATTCATTAGTAAGAAAGAGTTAGCAAGTCCTGGTTTTCAGTTAGTCTGAAGATTAAGAATCAGGGCAGAAAGGGCTGGTTCAACAGTTAAGAGAGCACTTGTTATGCAGCACTGGAGGCAGAAACTCTGGTCTACAGAGGGAGGTCCAGGACGGCCAAGGATACCCAGAGAAACCCTGTCTTGAAAACAACAACATCATCAACAAAAAAAGAATGCTTGCTGGTTTTACGGAAGACAAGGATTCAGTTCCCAGCACCTACATGGTGATTTACAGCTACCCAGAACTCTAGTTCTAGGGATATGAATGCCTTCTTCTGACCTCCTAGGGAAATAGGCACTTACCTGATATATGTATGCACATACTACATACATAAAACAAAATACATCTTTAAAAAAAAAAAGCAGGGCTGGGGGTGTAAGTCAGGAATGCACCTGTCATTCACAATCCCCAGCCCTGCATAAATCAAGTATGATGGTGTGTCATGTTATCTTAGTACAAAGGAGACAGGCAGACCAGAAGTTTAATGTCATCCTAGAGCAATTTGGGACTAGCTTGGGCTAAAGCAGAGAGTGAGATCACTAAGGGGTGGCCAGAGGTGGTGACTAAGATGAGTAAGGACACGCAGTCTGGAGTACAGACTTTTCAGGTGCTGTTACTGTACACAAGCTTGGACACTTTTAGAAACTGTTGGGCTGGAAGAAACAGCCAGCCACGTTATTGTTCTTGTGGAACTTTCCTCTAGTGTTTGTCTACAATGTGAGTGACTCCAGGGTTGTTTCCCAGAACACTCCCTCCCAAACACAGCCTGCCCCAACACCTCTAACACAGCTCCCATTCTCAGTGACACTAAAATTGCAACCTGACACTGAGGCCAGACCAGTAAGTGATACTCACGGTGTCAGAATTCCCTTCCAGCAGTATATTGATAGCTTTGTTCACATCGCCGTTACAGTCATGTAGGGCCACAATGCATTCATCCTGATTTTTTCCCGTCACTTCCATAAGCTATTCAAAGAATCAAAAAATGATTAAAGGAAAGGGGGGAAAAGGCATTCAGTACTAACTTTATGACTCTTCTATTCAAATACAGCAATTATGCTGTCCTTCGACATGATGGCCTTTTCTAGACTCCAGTAAGTTTAGGCTCAAAGAGCAGGTTGAGATTCCTGTGCCCCTGGTGTCCCCAAATAATATTAGCAGACTCACCCACCAATCAAAGTCATAACTGATCAGCCTACCTCCGCCTCCCAACCTAGGATTAAAGGTGTCACCACAATCTTCAGCTTATGAATCAGTGTAACATATGCACAGATGAACATTCTTAGAACTCCTAGATCATGCTATCAAACTTAGGTCAACAGCATAGAACTTGCAAAGTTCTGATACTCAAAATGTAAACTGGGACTTCATTTGAACATAGCCACCATTCACTAATTGCATTAGGGCTTCCTATATGAACAAATCTATGACATAAGTATTGTGTTTTAATGGAATTTAATTATTTTAACATGTACTTAATTAAGTTCAAAACTGCTTGATTCTTAACATTTCGTGAGTCTCATGCCTGTAGTACCAAGGCTAATTAATAGAACCACCTGTCTAGAACACACATCTTGTGGGTTCCATCTGTAGTTTAGTGATTAGAGCATTTGCCTAGGATGTATGAGGCTTGATCCTCAGCACTATAAAAGTAAATTTCCACAGAAAGGAGGCCTCTTGGTCTAATAAACATAAGCACAGCTCTTTACACTGGAGCCCAGGACCACCAGAGTTCTAACCACTCTATGGATTCCCAGTGCTTTATCTTCACATTTTTCCTCTTCACTGTGAAGTGAAGAACAAGTACTCTACAGTAAGATAAATCTTGTTACTTTTACTTTCATCTGAGACAGGCTCTCATTAAATTGCCAGATTTAGCGAGAACCCATTTAAATTCTAGTCTTCCTACTTCAGCCCTTCAAGTAGGTGAGATCATACACCTGCACCATACTTGCCAAGTGTTTAGCTATCTGTACTATCTGACACACACAATTATTAAGACATACAATAAGAATCAGACTTTGCCTACTGACAGAACTAATAGTAGAACCTCGCTCTGTAAGGCACCTAGGTACAACTAGGTGTCCTATCAGAACTAAAGAGAGTAGCATACTTTCACTTCTTTCTATTAGGTAGAAAGACAGGCCATGGCTATGCCCCACAGGTGGCTCTCAAAACTCTAGGCTCAAACAATTTAGGCTTCTGTCTAGCCAGACTACAAGTAGCCACTTGTTGGTACCAGGTACCAACCACATCAGTTACATGGTTTTTAGTCAATTACTTTTGAAAACTACAAAAAGAAAAAAAAATTACTATAAGCCTGAAGTCAGCAACTCTAAGAACAAGGAATCCACACAGCAAAGCATGCTGTTCTCAAGAACAATTAGAACACAACTAAGAATAGGATATCTGACACTGGGACAGAGGGCCCTGCCTGCTTTCTAGAGTCTAGAAGGGCGAAAAAGCAGTAAAGAAAGGTTTGGAATTAAGGTTAATTTATCAAAAAGACTTTTTGTTGAAATATGAAATGAAAACATCACCCTAAAAACAATCTATACTTTGTCCACCGAAGTTTGACATTACACTGACATTTAAAAAGGCAATTTGTCTCTTTCCTACAATTAAAAACAATACTCCTCACATCTCAAAAGTTATACTTTCTGAATCTAGGTATACACAACTGTCAGTGGGCTTTCACAAATGTCTAGTCCACTGGTCACATACAAACACACTAATTACTGAGATTCTACTATCAAGATAGACATGCTATATTTTTTCATTTGGCTACCAATATTAAGTACTTGATCATAGGCCCAAAATCATTATCAAATACAAGTTCAGACTAAGTAATAAGCACATTTTAAAATTAAAGATTCCTAGTAAAATTATCTTTTTAAGAATATTAAGAATCAAGTGCAGGGGCAGGAAAAACAACTCGCCAGTTAAGAGCACTTGCTGCTACTGCAGAAAACACAGGTCCAGTTCCTGGCACCCATCCGGTGGTTCATAGGCATCCTATTCTGGGTGCTCTAATGCCCTGTGACCTCCTTAGATAATAATAAGAATGCATGTGGTACACATAGATACATGTAGGCAAAACCCTCACATACATAAGAAAAAATTTTTAAATACTTTATTATTTCTTTTTATGTTATATGCAATGTTGTTCCTGCATGTGTGTCTGTGTGAGGGTCTCGAATTCCCTGGAACTGGAGTTACAGACAGTTATGAGCTGCCATGTAGGTTCTGGGAATGGAACCCAGGTCCTCTGGAAGAGTAGCCAGTACTCTTAACCACTAAGTTATCTCTCTAGTCTCCCAGAAAATACTTTTTTTTTTTAAACTAAGAATAAAAGAAAAGTTACAGTATCCTTTGGTAGAAACATACCTGTTTAACTTTAGCTTCAAAATCTGAATCATTCTTATCAAAGATCACTTGAGCAAGCCGCATCTGTTCAGCCGTTGCCTAGGAAGCAAAAGTGGTAGAATTTAGCAACTAAAATATTACAACAGATGCTAGAATGTCAGTCAAACACAACTCTCAACCAATAAGCATGACTCTGAGGAACACTGATTAACGAGGTGTGGGGGCACGAGTTCATCATCCCAGCAGGGACAGGAGGGTCAAGGACACACCCGACTACGTGAGAATATGATATCCTGGGCTAGGTTGAGTTCTTATCTCAGAGAGGGAGGAAGGAAGTAGTTAATTTGAGACATGGGACTATATATAACCTGCTCCCATAAGAAAACTACCATCCAATTGAACAGCATAAAGGACTCATTCCCTGCAATGACCTGGCGGTCAGGCTGCTTACATGGATTTCCTTCCCACTGAGAAGGCAGGGAAGAAGGCAAAGCAAGATGACAGTTGTGGTGGTGCCATGTGCCTGTGCTCCCAGAACTCACAGCATCCTTCTGCCCAATCTACGCACCAAGTTACAGACTGCTAGTCAGTGCTGCACACAAAACTCTACAAACCACACCCAACTGGCTCTGACTGGTTCTGAAGGGAAAGAACTGCATTTAGCAGAATTAGAGAGTAATTCTGAAGTTAATTCTCTCTTACAATCTTACAAATTTATAAATGAAGGGAAGATTTCAGTCAGCTCCACAGAAAATAGGATTCTTTATGCTAAACCCTGTTTTTAGAAAATAGACTCCTGAATGTTTAGGGTTTCTGTCTGTGTAACGGAGCAGTTAAATATTAGTAGCATTGTACTGTGACAAACTACAAAAGCTCACTTGGGGTTTGTGGTGGTATGATGTTTTGCTTTTTTTTTTTTTTTTTTTTTTTAGTTTTTATAGTAACAGAAATTGAATCTAGAGCCTCCCACGTGCTAGGCAAGCACTTATCAGTGATAAATATATATTTCTTTTTCTCCCCAATCTGTTTTACATTTTTGTTGTTGTTTTGTGCTATTGCTGTAAGACAAAGTCTCTCTAAATTGCTTAGGCTGAAACAAGACCTGGTAGCTCATGCATTTCTTTCCTATAAGTACTCCAGAGGCAGAGGAAGCAGGAGGATCTCTGTGACTACATGTCAGGTCTATATAAGGAATTCCAGGACAGAGCTATTTGATAGACTTATCTCAAAAATAGATAGACTGTCTAGGTTGGCTTTGAACTCACTCTATAATCCAGACAGGCCTTAAAGTCCTATTTTTAGCCCCTAAGGACCTGGGATTACAGGACTGTGCCACCAAGCCTGACTGGATTTTCTTTCATTTTCTTTCTCGAGATAAGAGCCTTACTACATAGTCCAGGCTAGTCCTGAACTCTTCTTTCTCCAGCCTCAAAGTCTTGAGATTAGAGGCATATGCACCATTATTTTTGGCTCCTAATACAGTATCTTAATTTTGAAAAAAATACCAGGATTAGGCCAAAAAGTATATAGGTAAAAGATATAAACTTTCCCCCATATCTCTGTACACATTTCTAGTAAAATTAACATTACTTCAGAAGTTTCTTCTTTCAGTTACTGTTCTGTCTTTAAAACCCATGGTGTTGATTCACTCTGACAGTCTAGTTGACTGCAGGCACGTGTGGACAGAATGAACAGGGCCAGAAGGAGTCAGTCTCTCCTCAGCTTTGGGATTCAAGTTTCCTTGGCTAGATGGAAGCCAGAAAAACCAATAAAGCCTTTGCCTCTGACCCCTCAGAGCTGGGCTCATCAGCATGAGTGGAACTCCCAGCTTGCCACATGGGTGCTAGAATCCAGACTCCAGTCCTCAGATTGCACAGAAAGCACTCCAGGCCCAGGTTACTATTCTGAGGGAGAGTTTTTGTTGCTATTATTTGGTTTATTATTTGTTGCTGTTGATTTTAGGACAAAAAGTCTTATTATGTAGCCCTGCCTAGACAGGAAGTCACTCTGTAACTTAGACTGGCCTCAAATTCATGGCAATTCTCATGCCTGAGCCTTTAGAATGACAGAACTGTAATGTAAATGTGAAGTACCATGGCCAATTACATTCTTTTATAAATACACATTTATTTATTGTTTTTTATTTAAGGGAAGGGCATCTGATAGCACGCCATTTGGAGATCAATGAGCAAGTTCAGAAATCGTTTCTCTCTTCCTACCATGTGAGTCTTGGGAATTAAACTCAGGTCAGGCTTGATCACAGGCACCGTTACATGCTGAGCCACTCTCTCAGCCCTAAATTCTCATTCTTTCTTTGTTTTGTTTTGTGGGACAGGGTTCCCTGGATGGCCTGGAATCCACCACACAGACTGTGCTGGCCTTGGAACTCACACAGATCTGTATGCCTCTGCTTCTCTAGTACAGGGATTAAAGTTGTGTGCCACCATGCTTGACTAAATCAGGATGCTTAACTAAAAGTCTGCATTAACTCCTGAACACATATTTAGAACTCTAAATACAATGGGCGGTGGTGGCGCACGCCTTTAATCCCAGCACTTGGGAGGCAGAGGCAGGTGGATTTCTGAGTTCGAGGCCAGCCTGGTCTACAGAATGAGTTCCAGGACAGCCAGGGCTACACAGAGAAACCCCATCTTGAAAAACCAAAAAAAAAAAAAAAACCTCTAAATACTTGATCAAGTATGGCATGTACCTGAAAAACCACAAATGAGGAGAAAGATGATCAGAAACTCAGGATCAGCCTGAGTGCCAGAATAAGACACAGTCTCAATCAATATAGCAAAGCTTTTCTTCAAAGCTTTCGTCAGGTTTGTTTTGGTAAGAAATGTTATGTAGGCTAAGCTAGGCTATAACTCACAATATATACAGCAGAAGATGATCTTAAACTTCCCACCTTTCTGCTTCTGCCTTCCAAGTGCTTAGACTATAAGCTTGTGCCACCACTGCCAGTTTATGTGAAACTAGGGGAATGAACCAGGGTCTTGGGCACTGTACCAACTGAACTACAGCCCAGCTCCATTCAACTTTTATTATAAAATTTCATTCATTTCAAGGAACTTGAAGATGCAAGGGGGTACTGGCAGTTTCTGAATTATAAGACATCTTTTTACAAGGCCTTTCCATTTCACGAAGGTGGGTGAGTATACAAACTCCAGCAGCTGTGGCTATCTATTATGCCCAATCTAAACGCCAAACCTGTCATCCCAATCTTTTTATGCTATTACCTCAGCTTAACTGCCAAACACTACTGCATTAAACCGAGAAAGATATCTGTATAGAAGAAATTCAGCACCCACACTTCCTGATGGTGTCAATGCAATCTTTCCCAGTATACTCAAAAACCTTAAGTACACTGTCATTATTCCTACTGCACACCAGATAACTATTCCCTGGACCCACCATCACCTGAGAAGTCCCAGTGTTGTAGACAAAAACCTCAACAGCATGATCAATGAACTAGGAGTCAGGAACAACCAGAAACTACAACCTGACAGGGAGTGATCACATTACATTTGCAGTCCAGATGAGAGCCATTTCTAAGTGATAGCAAACCATGGATGCTCCGGGAGCTGAAAGCACCCAGACCAGTTTGTCCCATATTAATACAGTGCCTTCTACTGCCTTTCATAACAGATCTAAACATTATATATTACTTTCAATCTAAAATGTCTGGGGGTGGGGGAAGAACCCTGAAGAAATGACTCAGAGATTAATAATGGCAGCTCCTGAAGAAAAAAAAAAATACATGTTGACAATGAACCATGACAGCAGTGAGCAGTGCTCATCACTCAAGAATCAAGGAGGGAGGAGCCGCAAGCCAACCAAGCCACAAAGACCCTGTCTCAAACAAAACCAGAAAGAAAAAATTTGATTATACCTTAAGAAACTAAAGAAAGAACAGCAAACTAATATACCAACACAGATAGAAAAGAAGGAACAGAAGACAGAGAAACTAAAACAAATGAAGATTAGAAAGAGGGACGTCGCTGGGCGGTGGTGGCGCACGCCTTTAATTCCAGCACTTAGGAGGCAAAGACAGGCGGATTTCTGAGTTCGAGGCCAGCTTGGTCTATAGAATGAGTTTCAGGACAGCCAGAGATATACAGAGAAACCCTGTCTCGAAAAACCAAAAAGAAGCAAAGAAAGAAAGAGAGATGTCAACAAATTAGAACATGACTCCAGCTGGGTGTGGTCATTCACATTCTCAATCCCAGCTGAGGAGAAGGATCTGGTCAAGTTCAAAACTACCCCAGGTTATGTACTGAGTTCCAAATCACCTGTGTTAAAGATTAAAAAGCTGTATTAAAAGGGAGGTGGGGGTCAGCCTAGAGGTAGTGGTAGGAAGCAGAGGCAGGCAGATTTCTGTGAGTTCCAGGCTTGCCTGGTTCCAGGACAGCCATAGCTATACAGAGAAATCCCTCAAAAAAAGGCGGGGGGGGGGGGGGGGGGGGGGGGGGGAGGAGAAACATGAGTCTGTAAGTCTGGGTGTGTGTGCGTGTCACTTTGCTTTGTTTTCTGGTGGTCCTAGAAACAGAAGCCAGGGCTCTAGCAAGATAGGTGGTCACTCTTATACTAAGCTAGCTTCATTGCTACCTGTTCAAAGGTTGACTCATAGTTCAAGATATGTCAATAAAATAGATAAATACCCAGCTACAAAGACACAAGATTCAAGAGTAGTAATATTAGGAGTAAAAGAGAGAAGGAACACTGTCACTAGAGAGATTGCAAAGCATAACACACACCTATTATTTTAACACACCCATTATTAAAGGTGAGTGAGGCAGGAAGTTAGTGAGTTCAGGGACAGCCTAGCACAAGGTGAGATCTTGCCTTAAACAAACAACAAAAATGAAACTTCAGGAAAAAAAAAAAAGGAAAACCTAGAACAAATATGTGTCACCAAATTCGATAGCCTAGATAAAATATAATCCTGAAAAAGACACAAACTAGGGCCAGGGAGAGGGCTCAGCTAGTAAAAGCTCTAACCATACAATCCTACACCTGACAACATCTCTGAGATTGTCAGGATGCAGTAGCATATATCTATAATCCCAGCATGTCTACCAAAGATGTGACAAGAG